CTTTTTTCTCGAAAACGTGACGTGATGGGACATTTTTGACCCCGGATTCGTGTTCAGCACGAAAAATCCGTTCAGAAACACCAGGTCCCGTCTTATTCGCAGAAAAAAAGTTGAAATTTGTAGACCAGTGTTATTAACTGTAAAAAATAAAGCAAATCCATTCAAAATTAAATCCAGAAACTAATTCAGATTCACCTCAAGCAAATTCAAAAGGTACGATTAGTTTCAGCTTAAGAAATGTAAAACCAAGCTAAACTAATAGGAAATAAAATAACAACAAGCCAAATATAATATTGAAAATAATAAAAGTCTATTAAATATATTATAACTGCCACAAGATTATAAAATTAATATATAATTAGTTAAAAGAGCATAAGTTTGTTCCTTAGTAAATAATTTAATTGCATCACATATAGGTTGAGGAATTCCTCTCAACCAGACTTTATTAGGTCCTTTTTGAAAATATAATATATATATATTTTTGAGTTATGCGTCATATTGGGCCCACCATTCTGAATTTTAAAAATCTGACTATAGATTCGTAATAAGCTACTCCAAAAGCTCCCATGTAGACAGTTTCATCAAAATTCAATATTTTTTTTTTATAAATCATCTGCCCTCAGATCCACAAACAGCCCAAATCTCCCCTACAGACTATTTCTTAAAAATATAATTTTTTTTTTAATCATCCGCCATACTGGACCTGCCATTTTTAATTCTCCAAATCTGACTTCAGAATTGCAATCAGCGAGCCCAAAAACCCCCTGTAGACTATTTCGTAAAAATGTTATATATATTTTTTTAAATCATCCGCCATTTTGAATTTCCAAATCTGACTTCAGATTCGTAACCAAAAACCCACTCGTACGAAGTTGTTGTTGACCTGCTGGCCCATGGTGCACTGTATATATATTTTCGGCCGACATGGCATGGTTGCTTCAAAACTTTCTTCGTGTGTGGTCAGCATTACTCGCATATAAAAGTACATAAAAATGTATGATGTAAGCAGGTATGTGTGCGCCCCACAAAAGCTCCAATAAAATCTGACTTATTGCCTGCTTTAGAATTTACTGCTTTTCTTAAAGCAATGGAATGGCTGAGCCGAAATCTTACTGTAGTAAGCGACTGCGTAATAACTTTAACTTAAGTTAAGTAGTCAGTACTACGAAAGGCTTTCTGTGCATTGAATGTTTGTAAGAATATTTCGCAAATATACATACATACTTATGTAGATGTGGCTGTTTTCTTGCGCTTACTTTAACGAAAATCCATGAGCACTGCTAAATAATTTAAGCAATTTCTCGCTTTAGTAAGCAGCTATCCCTTACTGTAGTCATAAACTATTTAAATATTTACAGTAAATTTAGATATGCTACATATCTATAACAGGTATTGCATACTTAAGTGAGCTTAGGAACACATACATACGTAGCCATGCCTATAGTATGTAAATGTCCTTAGTTGACACTTCAGAAATTTAATTGAAATTTATTAACGTGCAAATTCACGTGATTGTTGCATTTATTGTTGTATTGCTCGCATGCATTAAGATGTGGGGAAAATATCATTGATAAGTATTTGTAATTGACATGCTCACACTTAAGCATACAAATACACAAACGCATATCGATAAGTGTCCTTCACCCCATTTATGAAACCACATTCATACTTACATACGTATGTACATACATATATCTAAGCATGGAGGACATGGTATGTTCGTATGTATGCATATGCTGATTGCTTTTGGTCCAAATCGATTTTTTTCCTGCTAAAACTTGGGTGCATAGATCCTATGTACATATGTGAACCGACATCTGCAAGTAGGAATGTGATTATGCATTTAAATGCACTACAAAGAATTACATACATATATACATACACTCAGCAATACATTTATGCATTTGTACTCTACGAAAGTGCCAATTTCCTCGACATGCAAGCATTTTATGCACCATATCTCAATTATATGTCATTTCTCTGTGTCTGAATGCCATTTAAGAATGTCGGTGCATTGGATGTGAAGTAAATGCCAGCGAGTACATACCCTGCAGAAAAAATTGACAATTGATAAAAAATAACCCACTTGTAATTAGCTTTTCTATAAAATATATAACTTGGGTTAGCTACAAAAAGCTAACTTGAAACTAGTTGACCAGTAACGCAGGAGATTGGTTTCTT